ATAATCAACACTTCAAATATTCACAGTGCAGATACGGACTGGCCATCTGTACCTCCAGCTTTGATTTTCACAACTATCATCTGCGGGTACACAAGCACAGCGCTTATAAACTGACAGCCAGGCAGTCCTAAAATGTAAGGACCGTTTGTGCCCTTGGCCGGGCCTCGCTTTTTCCTCCAAGCAGAGTGGTGTTCCCTGCAGCAGAGCCGCGGGAAGGCTGATTTGTTCCCTGGCTGGAGCTGACAGGAGCTGGTCATGTTGTTATGAGTCGGCTCCAGCTTCTGTGTTTCAATCAGGCACACAGCGGGACAGCCCATCTGCTGCCGCAAACCTCCCAGCCGCTACAAAACAGGACCTGAATGGAAACGAGTGTTCTTTCAATATTCTAGAACATAACCTACATGTTAACATTCTACTTTAACTTTGTAGCTATTCTGTTACACTTTAATGAGTTGTTCAGTTTTACATTCATGCTGACAGGACGTCTTAAAAGTATGGTTCACTCATTTACTCTCCCTTATGTCATTACAAACCTGTATGACTGACTTCCTTCTGCTGCATGTGGAACACAAAAGAAGATATTTTGGGAAAGAAAAATGTATTTTTGTCCATACAGTGAAAGACGATGGGGTTCAATACTGTTTTGGTCCCAGTGTTATTTTAGTGTAGGCTATTTTTTGTACTATTACCGAATTCATTCATATTTTGAATTATAGGTTATATTTTTGTATTTTCAGTTTTTATTTAAATTTTAGTATTAGCAATTTTATCACATACATACATTTTTTTATAGTTTTTATTTTAACATTTCTATTTTACTAACATTTTAGTTTTAGTCATTTTTCTCATGGTTTATACTTTATTGGGATTTCTTATTTGCAAAAAAGCAACCAAATAAAATATTCACATTCTCAACCTTTAAGCAAACAACAAAAACTTACACCAAAACGAAGGGGATTTTTTCAAATAATGACAATATAAGTTTTAGTAATTTTAATTCTTCATCTTAAATTTATTTTAATTCATTTAGTTGCCAAAGCAAAATTTCTATCTTTTAAGTTTTTCCTTATATATATATATATATACACTGAACAAAATTATAAATGCAACACTTTTGTTTTTGCCCCCATTTTTCATGAGCTGAACTCAAAGATCTAAGACTTTTTCTATGTACACAAAAGGCCTATTTCTCTCAAATATTGTTCACAAATCTGTCTAAATCTGTGTTAGTGAGCACTTCTCCTTTGCCGAGATAATCCATCCACCTCACAGGTGTGGCAGATCAAGATGCTGATTAGACAGCATGATTATTGCACAGGTGTGCCTTAGGCTGACCACAATAAAAGGCCACTCTAAAACGTGCAACCGCGGCTTCAGTGTAGGGGCGGGTGCTTCGGATTCTAGAGAGCATTTGATTGGACAGAAAGTTTGATGAGAAGCTGAAGTACGATGTGACGTCAAAAAAATCGTTGAGCCGTTTTGGCGGAAGTGACGAACTGCAAGCTTTGATTGCTTATATCTTCTAAATGCGAACTGTGTCACTGTTTTGGAACGCACTGCCTTATAGATAACCTTAAGACTGACATATTGATACTAACTTTAATTTTGATTTCATGGGGACTTTAATATATATATATATATA